AAAAAAAAAGAAAAAAGAAAAAAAATAGCAAATTAGTGTATACTAGTACAACGCCCGTGTATTATATGGGTGTGTGCTAATTTTTTTCTTAAAATATAAAATTCATAATAAAATAGTTGAAAATCTAAATGCCTTTTATAAAAATATATATATTATTATATAGTTAGTATGACACTTTTTATTTGTGCGACTTACATGTGGTATACTGTAATAATTTTTTTAACTTACAACAAATAATTATATTAAACATAAATATATCAATTGAGAAAATAATTTTATTTTTCTAATGAATTTTCATAAATATTATCATTTATTATTATAAAGATAAATATAATTTATTTATTTCATATATACAATATGGAAGTCAAATCGAAGATCATCAAAGGATGATTAATTTGATATATTATATATGTAAAACCGATAAGAGATACAAAAGTTATCAACTTTTAAAGTACATTTACAATTCAATATCTAATTGAAGGAAACAAATCAAAAGTCATAGATATATTAGTCACTTAGTGTCTCACTATGTAAAATACAAAGAATTAAAAGGTTATATTAGTACAATTGATATTAAAATACCTAAGTTAGCTAAATAATATTTATGGAATGTCCAAACCTAAATTATTATTTATTGATATATCAATATTATTTGTCCAAACCTAATTACGAAGCATGATTCTTCGCCAAGTAGGAGTACGAAGCACCAGAAGCAGTCACGTAGACTTAATGCATTCTGAAATTATATATAGAGAGGATTAATTATATTTTATTTTATATATACAGTATGTATATTAAATTAAAAATCGTTAAAGTATGATTTAAGTTAGTTGAAGAACGAATGGTTTTAGTACTGAAGTGATATAAAAAATGTGTTTTCAATGGGAAATGATAGCAGAATAGTACAAATTGTGTTGGTATTTATATATAAGTGGATTAGTATTAAATTTTATAGATTAGTATAGAATTGTTTTTCGCACCGAACAACTCGCGAAGTCAATTCTATTTGGCTCGTTCGTCAACTTTAACGAGCCAAACTCATGTGTAAACTATTGATTTATATTTTCAAATATTTTTTATATGTTTATAATGCTTAACGAAAAGCCAAGCCGGATCATCTTCCTCAGCAAAATTATTTATGATTTTGAGTTTGTTAAACAAATCGGGAGGAACTGACTTTGCCCCTTTAAATGAGTGCGAGAGCAGACACGAGGTGCTCAACTCAAATAACACTACTAAATATATGTACACTAGTTGTTAATGTTTTGATTTTAAAAATTATAATAAACATGAAAAGAGCAAAAATAATTGTAATGATAATAATATAATTTTTTATATTAAACCTAACTTATAATTAGTTTTTGGTATAATTAGTTGCTATGATAGCTTAAATAATAATTTCAACCTAATTTATTTGAAAATCTAACTTATTTTAAAATCTACTCAAAGAAATTGATGAGATGAATTCGAGCTTAAAAAGAAAAATTATTTTATCAAACCGAACTTATTTTTATACACAAAGCTTATAAAACTAATCAAATAAACTACAACTTAGTTTTGGTCTCTCTAGATGAAATTAACTTCATTATTTGTGTGTTTGATAAGCACTAAGTTTATATTATGTTAGCTTTTATAAGTTTACTAGTACAACGCCCGTGTAATATACGGGTGCTTGATAATTTTTTCCTTAAAATCTAAAATTAATGAGAAAAAAGTAGTTGAAAATTTAAATACCTTTTGTAAAAATATATATATTATTATATTTAGTATGTCACTTTTTATTTATGCGACTTACCTATGTTATATTATAATAATTTTTTTAACTTACAACATATAACTACATTAAACATAAATATATCAATTGAGAAATAATTTTATTTTTCTAATGAATTTTAACAAATATTATTATTTTTTATTATTATAAAGATAAATATAATTTATTTATTTCATATATACAATATGAATGTCAAATCGAAGATCATCAAAAGATTTAATTTGATATATTATATATGTAAAACCGATAAGAAATACAAAAGTTATCAACTTTTAAAATACATTTATAATTCAATAGCTAATTGAAAGAAGCAAATCAAAAGTCAGAGATATATTAGTCCTTTAGTGTCATTAGGTAAAATTACAAAGAATTAAAGGGTTATACTACAAGTGATATTAAAATACCTAAGTTAGTTAAATATTATTTATGGAATATCCGAACTTAGTTTATTAATTATTAATATATCATTATTATTTGTCCAAACTTAATTACGAAGCATGATTCTTGATAAAAAAGATTTCCAAAACACCACGTAGAGAATCTGGAATTACACATGTACGGGATAGTAATTGAAATAAGTTTCCACAAAATTAGATTAATAATATAATAATACAAATGCTATCATTTCCGCAGTATCTATTACTATAAAATACAGTTAAGTAAAAATGTTTGAAAAACTCAAAAATAATTGTTTTATTTTTCTGCTTTTTTATATCATTTTCCTGCTTTTATTTTTCAATTTTCACCCTTTCTATTTTTTTTTTT